GGGTACGTCTGTTTGGTATTATATGCGCATTATTATTCTACTATTCTCGCTCATCCCTCCTCTCTGACGAGTGAAGAAGGGCGGAGAATTATGTAAGCGCATCAACTACGTCAAGTATGATTAATTGCGAACGAATTGCCTCGCGAATTGCTTTGACGTTTGTCAACTTCACAGTAATAACGTCGTCGACTTGAATTTTTCTAGCGATCATCTAACGTAAAATAGAGATTGGGCGAACTCAAAAATAAAGCTGAGAATGTAAAAAGTTTTGGATGGCTTTTTCACTCCTAGTTGGTTATCAAAGATACGAATGCAACCATAATACTTTTAAAAATAAGGGCCCACCGTATACGGTACCTACCTCACTTCTTGTTACTAATTCTAATTGCACCCACAATTCTGTAATTCTTGATAAATTAACCCAAGATTATCCTAAAAGCTCTCATCATTAAATACGAAAAGCATGAATCTCATAGGTGAATAAAATAAGCCCCTACTCCGCTCATCGTCATTTTATAAAAGCTCACATTCGAGGAATATGTTAAGTGCAATAAGTACGAGTAGGTACGTACCTGAAGGCCAAACGTCGTTAACAGACTCAAATGGAAACAGTCTCGGAATCAGTTCATACCGATTCAATTTAACATAGAATAAATAAATTCCACCGTTTTATCACCCTATAACATACTTTTCCGCACCCATGAACCTTCGGATGATGTACCCACAATTAATAAGGTTCATGACAACCTGAACACCTTAGGTATCAAACAAACATGTATCATTTGTAAAAGTAGAGTTGGGACGAATCCTCCAGTAAAAGATTCGAATAACAGATCCGCGAATCCTAGGTGCTGATTGGATTCACGAATATGTACTTCAATCGAATCAGAAATCGAATCCTTTTCGACCTGAAAATAATCAGAATCCCAGTATTTTAATCCTTTTTTTAATTAACTGAAAATACTGGACATAATCAAATAAATATAGTACCTAGTTATTTCTGTATCAAGGGCATTAAGGCGATATTTATGCGGAGGGCGAAAGAGCCCGATGGTCTCCGGGCCGAGGGATTGTAAGTCTGAGGGCATAATAAGATGACAGTCCATTACGCCTTCCCATTACACCCTCGGATGTCATAGAATGCTTTATAATATCTCATATGACAGATATAATGGGCATATATACAGTGTGTCCCAGATCGCGTGGGATTGCATGGGTAACTTTGTTATTATTAAAGATAGAGAATTGGTTAAATGGGCAATGTTTTGCAGTTTTGGATGCTTATTTAAAATTTCCTTATGGAAATTCAAAATGTCGCATAGGTTCGACGTAAATTCAAAAAAACTAAAATTGGTAATTTCCTTGAATGTCTTATATCATCGAAAGTATAAGAGATATTAAAAAAAGTTTTATATAAAAGTTACTGTCTTTGATACGTTTAATTTAGAATTGATGTCAAAAAAATTCAAGATGGCTACTTTTGAGGAACATTTACCAACTTCCTAAAGTTAAATAGGCGCCATATGGGATTTTTAGATTACTTGATAGATTTTTTAATTCTCTTTTCAACGAGCCATCATAACATAAGATTGAAAATAAGATACCAGTTATATCAACGGTTTTTGTATTTTAATCAAGTAGGCTGTGATGAATTAAAAAAAAAACAAAACAAAATCTATTCGAGCCAACAAAACAATGAAAATAATTACATCAGATGTTTAAAAAATCAGGGGCGCACTCATGAGAGGGGGGTTTGGGCATTACAACTCCCTCTAAAATTTTATATAAGTAGGCCTTTATAACATCACTTATTGACTATCTTATTATCCATACTTACATACCTACAAATGGTGGTATAACTACAAACTATCCCCTCGAAAAAATGTCATGCCATTATCCAGTTAAACACATTTCAAGACACTTTGCTTTATTTTACCATTGATGCATTGTCCCAGGTCACATTTTGTAAGTCAGTAGGTGGTTTATCCGCAAGAATATCGAAACTAACAGTTTTACCAGTCCGAGTATATGGACAGATGAATCTTTTTCTAACTGCGGAGTGTTCAAATCGACATAATGAACACTATACTCGTTACAGGAAAACCTACATGATGCAGTTTCACGCCGAAATCAAGTAATATTTTTTTAAATTAATGTATTTTATGGCATAATGGGAAGTCATGTAATTGGACCGGTAATCTTTGTTGGATCTTTAACTGCTCACCATGATTTACAAATTCTCCAATAAACTTCCTTAAAGGATTTTTCTCGACAACGTATGTTTCGAAGAAAGGGTTGGTTTATGCTACCTACCAACAAGCTGGCTGCTTGGTCACAATTCACGAATTATGTACAGTACATTAAATTATAAAAGTAAGTACTTAATTAAAAAATAAAAGTAAAGTGGAAGTAGCTACCACTACAATAATAATAATAATCATCAATGGCAACACGTTGCCTAAACTAAACTGTCTTGAAGTGTGTTTCACTAATAATGGCCAGTATTTTAAACATCTGGTGTAATTATTTTCATTGTTTTGTTGCCTCGAATAGATTTTGTTTTGTTTTTTTTTTATTCGACACAGACTACTTGATTAAAATACAAAAACCGTTAATATAATTGGTATCTTATTTTCAATCTTATGTTATGATGGCTCGTTAAAAAGAGAATTAAAAAATCTATCAAGTAATCTAAAAATCCAATATGACGCCCATTTAACTTTAAGAAGTTGGTAAATGTTCCTCAAAAGTGGCTATCTTAAATTTTTTTTGACATCAATTCTAAATTAAGCGTATCAAAGACAGTCACTTTTATATAAAACTTTTTTTTATATCTCTTATACTTTCGATGATATAAGACATTCAAGGAAATGACTAATTTTAGTTTTTTTGAATTTACGGCGAACCTATGCGACATTTTGAATTTCCATAAGGGAATTTTAAATAAGCATCCAAAACTGCAAAACATTGCCCATTTAACCAATTCTCTATCTTTAATAATAACAAAGTTACCCATGCAATCCCACGCGATCTGGGACACACTGTATAACAGGCAAATGAATAATAAAGTTCATTAGGAATAAGGTACGGTACAGCCTCGGGTACAGCTGAATCATATCCGATCGTTGATAATAAAGCTACGAAGCTTGAGGTTGCCAATTTTTCTCTTGTTCTAGGGAAACTAGTTGGTTTTAAGAGAGAGGTAATTAATTAATTCGTTTTGGATCGTCATAGAGCTCAAGTCAAAGAAACTGTCCGTCCGTCAGCTCAAATTGGAAGGGCTACAAATATAAAATTCGAAAAACGCGCGTACGACAGTGTTGTGGAATGAATTAAAGTTCGGGACGTATTGTATTGTAAAATAAATCGACGAGACAAAACGCAGTTAGTAATCTCGCGAACACAGAAATTTTGTGGGCGGGTAAGTAGCTGGATGTTCTCTGACCTAGTCCAGAGTCTGGCTTAAAAACGTCATAATCTGTTTTCATAAAATAAGTTTACGTGCAAATTCGTATTTAGAACTATTGAAACATTATTAAAGTATGAGCGGACTTTTCCGCGCCATCAAATCAAAGTCAGAGTTAAACCTCTCGGTAGGAAAGATTGTCGGTCACAGAACACTTGATCCCGGTCTACAATCTATGTTTTTCTAAAGACGCGAGAGACTTCTGGGATAGTATCGTGTCAGTGTTGAACAAAGAGAC